GGAATCTAACTAATGCATATACCTTTTCACCTGCGTTGGTCGTGTACCGAGATAGCCAGAAGAAGTGCCTATTAACGAAATTACTGCCGAAACTGTCGCTTGTGTTTTCGTAGAAAGATAGATCATAAACTTCTGATGTCCACCCTTCATAACAACCGACCGTGGGCGCCAACTGGAGTGTGAATAATTTCACGCTTTAATCACACTCTTAGGTTGCACTAGGTTTCAAACGACAGCCTACCATCCAAGAGCAAACGGTACGGCGGAACAGCTTCATCGAAAGCCGAAAGCTTCCCTTTCAGCTGCAAACATACCACAGTGGACCGAGGCTCTGCCTCTAGTCCTACAGGGTATCCGCAACGCATTGAAAGCTGATGCTGGATGCACCTCTGCAGACCTCGTCTACGGGGCTACCAAGTGGGTTCCCCTCCCCTTCACTTTTCACACATGTTTTTCGCTGAACATCCTACATGAATAGGCTTACAAGCACAATGCGCTCAGCTAGGCCTACTCCCGTTCGGCCCCAAATAACTGACGCCTCCATTCACCCAGTTTCACAAAGACATCATGTGCCGTATGTCGACCACTCGAACCACCTTAAAATGGACGATTCAGAGTGATCAAGTGGCACGAGAAATTCTATACACCTGAGCAAAAGCGATATGAAGATACTGTTGGTATCGATAGTTTGAAACCAGCTTACTTCGAGGGCAGCCCCATCATAGGCGACGTCTGAGCTCACCTTAGGTGACAGGTGGACAGCCCAATTGTCGAAATTCTTGACTACTTGCCTGGTAACAACCATCTGCGCAACAAAAACACGATCAGGTCTAGTTGTTAGGTTACTGGGTTACCTAAAGACATATTCAGCTAGGTGGTGCAGGTTAAAATGTGCCGACCATTTTTAAATTCAAATTTTTTCCAGGCACCATTATCTTTTTACTGGGAACAATAAAGGTTTCCGTCATTTCACCTCTTTGTGTCAACTTTTTACTACCACGTAATCAAAAGCAAAATGGGATTAAGTATAAAATCTATTTTAGATAGTTTTGTTTAGTTGCAAGCGTTTCCCACTTTTGCAAATCTTTTCGTGGCATTAACGATTTTTGTTAATACTCCAGGTGCAACGAGAACTGAACGGAACATCAAAAAACTAGGGATCGTGATCAACGGAGAATTCGATGTATTCTACGCAATTTTTTCTCTCTCCATGACACTCTAGAATAAGTTTAGACGACCGAAGTCCACTTTTCGCGGCCAGCCCATCCGAAGAGTTTTATCAGTGGTGAAGCCACTGAGTTTTTACCTCCGGCTGGTATTGTCTTAGGGTCCTCACGAACCCACTAGGGGGGGGGAGTGATCTGAAGTACTACATACTTCTCCAGAATCAGTAGCCTAGGGTTTGACGCGATTCAACATCGATGCCAACTTTCATAATTTGAATGAACTTGCTGAGCTGATGGCACATGGTCAAGTATCAACGCTATCCAGCAGGCTATCGTGTCACGTTGCTGTGCTCTTAATCGACTCTCCAGCCAGTTAATTGGAACGCATTGGCATTTTTGCACTACCTCGCAAGCATGCTGTTCCATCTGACTACGCTATTGTGTTCTTCCTGAGTCTCGTATTAGTGGGTATATTGCAAGTACCACTAATTGGTGACTGACCGCTGCATCTGTCAAGTCAGCGTGAGAACAATCCCTGAAACGTTATTCAGGCTACATCATTATAGCTTTTCAAATACAAACTGGATGTTTGCTTGAGGTCTCAGAGGAAGGCTATGAAGTAAATTATTATCGGCCCGTCCCCAGGCACAGTAACCCATGTTTTGCTGCAGCTAGTCACAGAAGCCAATCGAGAGAAAGCCTTTTCTGTTCTGTCACCAACCATCCGAAGCCACTAAGGTGATGTTCAAGTCGACGGTCTACTGTACGTCTTCCGGAAGAATAAAATGCCGAAAAGACATTACTACTTACTTTTTATGAACAGATAAAACGACCAGATTTTCTGGTTAAGCCATAACCGTGACGGAATGATGATAAAACAGTGTTTCTTATCCTAACTAACAGCTTGAAAGGTGTTACGACTGGCCTATTTATCAACGCAAAAACTTGTCACTGAAACGCAGAAGCCACGATCAAATGTTTATTTTCTTGAAGCCCGTTCTTGGCGTCGTGTTGCGAAACTCAAGGTAAGGCCGGCCTCAGTTGAACTGTGTGTAGTATTAGTTAAAATATCACCCGAGAAGGAATGAAAACCTGCTGATAAAAGTTCAGAGACGACCCACAGTGTGCTTTAGGGACCTATCGAAAGCCACGCTAGGGCAGGGTAAAGGGTCTAGTTGCTTACATTTTTGGTAATTTCGTAACGGCTTTCAAGGGCTTAATTCACCAAGGTCAGCAGAGCAGTGTAAGATTGCCAGATAGTTGCTATTGCGTGAAATGACCAACAGAATCATCCATCAAGGAGAAAAATTCGTGTGCGACTACACTTCATACCTCTCAGAGGCTGTGGTCGCTAAAGTGCATCACTTGCCGAGATGGTCCCTGTTTCATTTGCTGATAGCTTCAAGAAAATGTTGAACACCCACGAAGTGACATGTTGATTGGGTTCATCCAGTTGGTAAAACTTCAAACTAGGAGTTGTAGAGTTAGTGAACGACAGTCCCTTGGGTTCTACGTCTGTCTTAATGGAGTACGTTCTGGGTTTCAAATGGTCACAGTTATCCCCCTGGTTCCGAAAAACCTGAAGGGATGGAGATAATCGATCATTAATTATTCTGGTCTGAAGGCGGTATCGCTGCTCCTGGTCTGAAGATGACGGAAAGCCTCTCGAGTACAGCCCTTCAGTGCTTTAGGACTCAAAATGTGCGTCTAACTTCCTTTTGAAAGTATCAGGGGACGGGCTGTAACAGCTTCTGAAGGAGGGGAGTTCCACAGTTTACAAACTCTAGCTGTAAACGGGTCAGCACGGATCTTTGTACATGCTCTCTCATGCTCTGTTCTTGACGAGTGACCCCTCACGTGGCGTTTCCGACTAAAGCTTAGGAGGGATCCGTTTGGGTGAAGGGGATTATGGGCGATGTGGTACATCATGATCATATCCCCTCTGGTCCTGCAGTATTGTACCGGATGCAGCTTACGAGAAACTAAACGGTCTGGGTAAGGTTTGTACAGTAACCCAATTACTTTCTTTGTCATCTCTTTACCTGTCCTAGGATGCTGTGTCCTTCTTTAAGCATGGGGACGTCACAAGCGAATTTTTCCCTAGATCAGGGGGATATGCAGAGCACACACCGTGGTGGAAAGAGAGGGGGTTAGACCCCATAAAGTTCGCAAAAGAAACCCCAAGATTTTACAGGCGCTGCTGGCCGCAAGCCGAAAAGGATTGAAGCTCCCAGCGTTTCGCTTAACGTAACTCCCAGATCTTGTTCTACGCTGGAGTGACAGATACTTATTTCACTCAGAAAGAAAGAACTGGGTGTGCTTTTGCATTTGCAAACAGTCATTATCCTACACTTCTTCGAGTTGAGTGGAAGCACGTTTTCTGTAGTCCAGTTGAGGACTTTCGTAAGGTCCTTCTGGAAGACCGAAATATCCGTTAGCACCTGTTCTTCCTTCCAAATCTTCAGACCGTCGGCATATAATAGTGAACGAGAATCGGGGCCCCCGGTAGTTCATTGATAAAAGCAAGAAACAATAGTCGGGCCAGGATAGGACTTTGAGGAACACCTCTCAGCATCGGGGTCCAATCAGATACAGAGGAGCCAACTTGACTGCAACCCGGGGCAAAGAAAATCTCCAAGCCAAATGAGTAATTTCAGCGTAAACCCATAGGCCGAAGTTTCTTACACAGGATGTCACGGTTAACTCTGCCAAAGGCCTTAGAGAAGTCAAGTGAACCGATGTGAATGGGCCTTTTCTGCGCACAAAAGACAGTTCAGCTATTTCAAGCTATCAACAAGTTGGTGCTACATGACCTTCCAGGTACAAGCCATGTTGACAGTATTTTAAGATGGACCACAAAATGAGTCATTTATTACTCTCTCCACGACCTTCGCAACTGAGAAGATCAAGGAGGTCGGTCTGTAGTTAGAACCAAGTAGTGTGTTTCCACTTTAACATATTGGGAAGACAGACACCAAGTGAACTGTTACTCTTCTGCTTCATCAACGAGTATAGTATCCCATGATCCTCCTCCAGGGTTCTACACTGTTGTGTCTGGTGGTTTCTTCTGTCATTTCCGATTCTTGTTGCACATCTGTTATGGATGTCCTCGTAATTTAGCCAGTATATAGAGCTATTGGTGATCTTCAATCGATTCCAAGACTACCGCTTACGCCGCATAACTTTGCGAGTGCTTGGTTGTAGTCAGGAGGATTAGAACTTGTTAGTTATTTTTGGAATCAGAAGAGTGTTATTTTTTACAGTCTGAGGGATTATGTCCTTCAATGGATCTTATCTGACATTTAGATCGAGTAGGTCAGCGCAATTTCAGCAAGGGAAAGCTTCTAGATCTAGCCCAAGAGGGCTTAGAACATTCAGATCGGTCACCCAATATAAACTAATTTGTAAAAATATAGTGTGCCTTACCGTCAACCCCCCAGTGAGAGACATGTTCAGTCACGGAAATTTCCGGTAATAATTCCCAAAATTATACGGATTAGGCCGACGCAGTTTAGCCACACAACATCAGTTCAACCTTTTTTGTTACTTTCAGACAGATCCCCTCTTATTGTTGCTGTTAACATGGAAGCGACTCCATCATTTAAGCTTTTAAAACGGCCCTTTTATTACGTCAGTTTATGAGACTGTTCACCTCACTAGTTACTGTCCCATCTTAAATACCAACAACATTTCTGTTTCTGTTGTCCTCACCATAACTCTCCAAGGTCATTTTCATTTCTATCGCTCTTTGCTGTCCAAAGGGGTAAAGCAGATATTGGACATCGAGTTTGGAGTTACTGACGGAGCGCTTAACTCCCAAGTGTGCGCAACAGCATGACTGCATCGTAAGCGGAGTTACTTTATGAAGTTACTTGACAAACACCTTTATATTGTAATCTAGAAAGCGTTTGTACTTATTTCATGTTATTGCACATATTCAAGGTGGTTTTGGAGTCATGGGACACGAAATATGACTAAAGGCTCATCTTAAGATGTAGTGTCAACGTAATATTTCGTGTGTAAAAACGATCAAAGTGTAAGTAGCCTGTCATAATTCCTTATGATTTGATGAGATATGAAACTGTCGAAGCGCTCATTCATACTTTACATACAGGACAATAGAACTGACGTGCCACTTCGTCAGGACAAGTTACTGAATCACTCACTGAGATATCTTGATAACTCACTGTATATTGAAGCTATTTTTTCTAGAAGAATGATGAAAGTTACACAACCAAGTTGTCCGCCTTTAAAATTGCAGTCACGACAAAACGACTCACTAACTTCCTAGTGCTACCCATAATTTCCGTTGGTCCCTAACGGTCACCCATTGCCCAGGCAGTCATACTAGTAAAATTACTGGGTCATTCAAGTTACTAACTGTCTGCTGCCTACACTCATCATGCAGCTAGTTATGATATTCTTTCAGTCACTTGGCAACTGGGACAGTTACATATTTGCCGAATTACACCTTTTAGGGTTTATCGACTGCGTTGTCTACTTACTATTAAAATGCGGCCTATCAGGAATTAGCGATGTTTTCAGACCCCAAACTTTAGTAGTTTGGATGTTGGTTAAAGATGATTCGACGGCTAGTAAGTGAATCCATTGATATGCCGATAGCATTTAAAACTCTGAGGACAAAGCATGCTTCTAGATTGCCTACCAGTTAGTGACTGTCCGTGTTCTGTCCTACTAACTAAATATTTAGAAATCCGCAGCAGTGTCAAAATCGTCGATGCCCATGTGTTTGTTGTCACCACTACTCTCACCGACTGCGGTTCGGACAATATGTAGGACGAGTTTTAACGGGAGCTATCACTCGCTTAGTAAAGCGGGAGTTCAGATATATTCACCCTAATGGGTGTCTTCAAAGCTCACACAGGGAAGTTGATCTGATCGGAAACGCATCTGAGGAAATCTTGAAAAATTTCATCCTAACAAATTAGCAACATCTGAGATTGTTCTGGCTTCAAGTATAAGGAGATAGATTGTCTCACTTGGCATCTGTTGACATCACATTGACGGTAGGCATACAGTTCACACCGCTATCGGTCATCACTGTGGTGGACTGTTAGAAAGTTGTTGCCGTTTTTGGGGTACCTGGCAAATTAGGGGGACGTGTTTATTTGCCCCTTGATGCGTGTAGAAACAACAAATAGATGTATGTACTCCCAACTGACATCAAAACTACAGACATATATTTGGAGACGAAAAAAGTGAGCGTTTATCTCAGCAAGACAGTAATTCTTTTCCTGACGAGTCGTGGCTTAGCATTCGGCCTCATATGTAAACAGTTATAAAGACCAACGTACATCCAAAGATTAGCAAGTTTGTGAATTTCCGCAAGCTTAACCCAACTGAATGGTGTATTAAGCCGAGTTCCAGCTGACTCTGAAGCCGAAAGCTGTATAGATGTAAACTGGTAGTCTTCGTAATGAAGCAGCGCAGCTGTAGACGGAAAGAGCGAGGCTAGTAACAGTTGCCAGTGACTTATACTTACTGAGAGTTAATAAAGGTTCAAAACATCTTTTTCCCGATATATTTTTAAAATAAGCAAGGAATGTAAAAGGAACAGTAATAAAATCATAAGTCTTATTAGAACCTGTCAGATGGATAGTTTATGTAGTTGATTTTCTGTACCATGAAGCAATGCAGAAAACCAGGCATACGTGCATAACATAAATTACGAAATTTACTAAAGCGTAGCAATATGAAGATGAACAATTTTCGCAGGTTATATAGTAATGCAGAAGCGTAGAGTAGATGGATTACAGAACGGAGAAGTTAGTGATCAGTTAAGACTCATAATAATACTGTAGGGCTAAGCACCATAAGAAAAACATGTGTATATTAAAATTAATCATAACAACAGTGGTAATCGGGGTAAGGCGAAACAGACCAGGACCAATAAAACAAGGAGGATAAGATGAAGATATAATTAAACCACGTTGTGATCACTACCATGGTAGGCGTAAACTAGTTATCATTTCCTTCTGCACGACAGGTTTGGTTTGATAGCTCCAATTTGAAATTACAGGAATTTTATTCTGCTATGTTAAAGAACTTTAAAACATCGGTATGATGCTTATAGTCCGTCCAATTTCTCGTTACTAAGATTCTTGTTTTCTTGCATGCATGCTTCAACCACTTGAGTAGACGCTCAGTCATTCTGGTAGACAGACTTCTCCGTACAATCTCTGCATTAGCTTCCACGGAAATTCGAATTGATATGTACATTTAGGTGTTAAGGATTAGAGTTCTGTCTTTACCTGATTATTGGGGTACCCGTTCGGTGAGGCTGCGAAACATGAGCTTGGTGGCAAAATAGGTTTTTCTGATGGCTTTCTCTAGTCTTCGCCTACCTGTCTGTAGCATGTCATACTATTAACACAGTTTTATTCCCTACCTGTTATGTATGCTTGGTGATAGAACCTTCTATGTATCCCTTCCCCATGGAAGTATATCTCAAGGTCCTTATTTCATAAACAACTATGCTGTTATAATAGGTGTTTCTGGCTCCATTAAACAGCATTTTGATTACATTCCTTTTGTTTTGTGTCGGAACAAAAATCTAGTGGAAGTACTGTTTTGTTAGTGATCGTTTTTGATAAGTAGACCTTCAGATAAGTCCATCAATTCCTTTCGGTAGAATATCCAAGAATCTGATCATATCATTTTCTTAATGTTCTGTCACGAAAGTCAGGTTTTGATGACATGAGTTAAAACTTTAAATGATGTTTCTCCCTCCGTTTTATTTTTGCTCACAATAAAGATGCCATCTATGTACTGCCAGTAAAGCTCTACCCGCATTATAAGGCGCCCCATGCTACTACTTTCCAGAATTGATAAATAAGTCAGCAAAAGAGGGTTCCAAAGGGCTTCCCGTTACGACAGCGGTTTGAAGAGTCAGCGGCCTCCGGAGGTCGCTAGTTAGAGTCCTGCCGCTGTCCAGATTTCCATTTCATCTTCAATTATCACCCCACTATGGTTAATTTTAATATACACTTACTATTTTTGCAAAGCTTGACTCTACAGTGTTACCAAAAGTCTTGATTGATTACTAACTTCTCTGTTCAAAATGACGCAATCTACCCGCTACCTACTCAATCTTCACCTCAATGCCAACATTATAATGCGCTATTACCCAAATCCTTAGTTATTATCCGCCTTATTCAGAATGACATGATTTATTCTCAACATTTTTAGTCTAAACATCTCCAAACGTTTGCATTACCATTTACTTTTTATGTTGTTTAAAGCTTTGACATTAATATAAAATATAATTCCACATTAGATTTGTTTATTTTATGAATGTTACTATTATTAGAACATAAACATGGTACAGCAAGGGCACCCAAAAATGCTCCATACAAAATGATATAACACTATCTTGAAGAAAAAGTGAAGGGAAGTAGATAAGAAGAAAAACAAGAATAGAACGGTTAGAATAGCAGTCAAGTAAGGTACATTCAAAACGAAACACTCATTACTCTCCAGCAGTAGAAAGTAGGAGGGAGCTACGGCATGACTACCACTGGTTTCGATTCTGAGCCGTATCTGATAATGTCTCAAGCCTCTGAGTTGCGTAATCTCTCGGCCCCTACCCAAGGAGTCGTGATGCACCAAAAGATGCTAACCGAGTATCCTTCATACCACGGAGCCACGTCATACACTGAGCATCCCTCTGCTGCTTCCATCCAGTCCCAGGGTTAGTAAAACATTGAACGGTGTGGAAGCCGTTCGGACGACATACATAACACATGTTTAAGTCACCGAAGCTGGTGTTTCCAGGTTACTTCACTTATTGAATGAAAATCTCCATCATGCCCAAATATACGTTGTTGTACCTCAGAATTAATTACATGGTGTTGCCACTGGATATGAGCAATCCTATGGAGACAACGATGATCGAACACAGAGTCGTCGCACATGCTCATCTCGGAGAGGCCAAGTTTCACATGCGTAGGGCAGAATTGCTAGCAGCGAAAAGTTGTAAACACGGTCGTGACGGTGCCAATGGTGGTCTTTACTGGGGTATCTCACTATGGCCTTCGATATGCGATTACATATTTCATCACTCACCTCCACCAGAACTCACTCAATTAACCAGATACACGAAATTTTGACTACTTCCAACGCCTCACCACCAAGGGTGACTACAGGCACATGCTCCTACCAATGTTGCAAAAGTATTTTGCACTTCGATGGTACAACGCACATACCATACGGACACTAGTCACTAACTGAATAGGTGTGACTTGAGTAGCTTGTGTGTTATCGTACAGCAAGACTATATCGTCCACATATTCACCGAGTAGAAGATCTACACTACCATCACGAACCTCTTTCAGAGCTGTCTCAAGGATGTCGTAAATGGCAAAATTAAAGGGAAATGAAGAAATAGGGCAGCCCCGTCTAGCCCACTTGTGGTTTGGAAGAATGGAGACAAGTAGTTGTACACCCTCACTCTACCTGAGGTGTTATTATGTAGGGCTTACAAGATGTTAATAAATTTGTCAGGCACGCCGCTCTCTAACACAATTTTACAGTACAGCTCTGTCCAACGAATCGTAAACAGCCCTAATGTTGAGAAACACAACGGTTATTGGCCTACAATACGTCTCTTGATGTTCAAGCATCTGGCAGAGGGTAAATACTTGTTCAACGCTTGCACGTTCCGAACGAAACCCTGCCTGCTCCTCGCGAATCATTTTCTCACGTGAATGAAGCATGATAGCATCCAATATTTTCGACGCAACTGGTAACAGACTAATACCTCTATGGCTGTCACATACATAACCTAGACTCTTTTTAAAGATGGGCACAATAATGGCTTCATTCC